TAATCTGTTATTTTGCACCACTGCCTACAGCCAATGAGAGAGAAGCATTAAGCAGCAAGTTAATATGGCTTCTTTTTGGTCTATTTGGACCGAAGAAATGGTGGAAAAACTAGTATAAAGTTGGCAGCAGCACCCATGTCTGATGTGTCATCGGAGCAATACCACAATCAGATCAAAAAAGAAAAAAATTGGAGGAAAAACCATTTTCTACCCCACTAAAAGCTTCTTTTCATTATGTAGTTAATAACAAAAGATATACTACGTGACATCATGTTGTTTCCATGTCACTTCTTGCGTGTATTTGGTTGTGAGATGTAGTTTGTGGACCAAGACAAAGTTGATGGTGATTCTACTATTGTAAATTCATGCGTTGTAAAACCGTCGATCCATCAGCAGTGTTGGAACACTAGCCCAGATAGTCATACAGTGTGAAAACATCTATGACGCCACTACTTTGAAAATCATGAAGTCTGAACCCTGCATTATTTTTTCACTTTCACTAAGCCCTACTACAAGTACTACTGAATGAACTAAACCATGAAATGCTGCTGGCACACAAGCGGGACAGCAAGCAAATGAACTTCACTCTGGTAAATCACAGTGTAGTATAAATATCTTGTTTTAGTTTACTTTTAAACAGCTCATAACGACCACAAGTTACATCAGCTTAAAAACTATAAAACAAATTCTACCCATAAAATGTAGGAGAAAGAAAAAAAAACAGTACGAAGTAATTACTCGAGTCCGAATCATTACCTTTTTTGAATGACCCATAAAAACAAATCATAAATAAATAAAGATAAGTTACGCACAAATTACCACCTGTCAATCACTTTTTCCGCGGGACTCTGGCATGAATAGGCAGAGTGATTGGTGTCATTTTAACGCCGTCGACAAACTTGGTCGGTAAAAAAGATGCAAGACCAACAACAACCAACCAACAGTATCTGAGGTTTTCACTAAAATTACTAAGTACATGTGTGAAAGCGAAAGATTGAAGCAGTGTACTGACACTGTTACATGATAAATTTAAAAGACCGAAGAGTTGTTAGATAGAGAAAAGATTAAATATCACGTTCAACAACTATAGTAAGACGCGATCCAGCTGTACATCCGTGATAAACTTTCCAACGTGCACTGCTTTCTGGAGCTCAGACAAGCGCATGACAGTGTGTGTGGCTGTGTGTGGCCATGTGATGTGCGCTTTCAGCGGACGGAGGGCTGTAAAGAAATGCTAGGTCAAACACGGTGTGGATAATTTTCATTCTAAAATAACATTTTTACACTAAGACGTATTATTGTTAACAGGGCCTAAGTGTATATTTTTCGCGAGCACGTTAGCGACGGGGTAGAGGATCGGCGATGCCGGCTCAGCATCCTGTTGTCTATCGGCCATCGGCAATGGACGATGGCATCGTCTATCGATCCAACCCTAGTTCCACACAATTTGTGTTGGAACAACATGAAAGAATTAAGTTAACTTATGAGTTTTTACAGATTTAAGTGAATTGAACATAACACAATTAAGTTGTCCCAAAAAAAGAAATTTGAACAAACAGCAAACATCATTTTTTTGAGTGTACATGTGAACCAAAAAGCCAGTAAAGAGTAAAAAATTACTACTACTAACTACTATACCTGGACTGGACGACATGCCATATAGAACTCTATACAGTACATAGAAGTACACCAGAAAAGTGTGTATATCACAAAAGTAAGTTTACCAGGGAGCTGTATCTATTTCATGGAATATGTGGGTTTAACTGACCCTGACCCAGCTCCTCAGAGAGATGAGGGTGAGAAAATGTGTCAGGGTTTAGCTGGGTGTATTTTAGCGCCTAACAGATGTCAAGGTTAATGCAACTACTCTGTGGTCCATAACCCTCAGTTGTCCAGAGCCCTGTCATGCTACATTAAACCAGCAAACTGTGTGTGTGTGTGTGTGTGTGTGTGTGTGTGTGTGTGTGTGTGTGTTCATGTTTACACATGTACAAGTGGTGAAAGAGAGATAGTATGAGGAACAAAAAGAAAGTAAAAGATAAAGTAACAATTTTAAGCTGCAAACTCAGTTTGATCACAGGAGATACAGTATATTGAACTATAAAATTTTACTGTTGAATATAATTCACCCAAAAATATTAATTCTTCCATTATTTACTCATCCTCCACCTGTTCCAAAAATATTGATTGATTCATTCTAAAGGCTGATTTATACTTCTGCGTCAAACGGCGGCGTATGCTACGGCGCTGACGCATAGCCCTTCGCCGTGGCCGTCGGCGTCACTGACGTGCACCTCTCAAAAAATGTAACTACACGTCGCAACAACGCGTAGCGCAAGCCTGTGATTGGTCGGCTAGGTAGAGCTGACGAGTCTGGGCGGGACCAAGAGCCGCGCGAATGGCGCGAGCGATTGTTTACAAGTGTGGAGTCCCGTATGGAAAGCTCCGGATGGAAAGTTTTGTTTTGTGTTTACCTCATAGTTAAAGTTGTTGCACGTCTGCCGGTTCCTGCCGCAAAATGAGCAAGTTTGAGTCACTTGTACATCCCGGAAGTGTTCAGGAAAAGCAAAACAGAAGCGAAGAAACTCGACACAGAGGAACATTTACACCCCACTGCCAACTAGCGTTTTGGAAGTGTTCATGCAGACCAACAGAGACAGCGCGCAGAAGTATAAATGCACAGCCACGCGCGTTGCCTGCGCCGTGAGTTACGCCGGTCACTTGACGCAGAAGTATAAACCAGGTTTCATGTGGAACACAAAACAAGATTTGAAGAATGTTGAAAACCAATAGTGACTGACACTGAGTGTTAATGAGATGTGGCTTTCAACTAGGGCTGCACAATATATCGTTTCATCATGGATATCGCAATGTGTATGTACGCAACAGACAAATCGCAGAATGTTGAGTTATTGAGGAATTATAGTTGATCAGCACCACAATTAGAAATGAATGAGATGTGTGTAGTCACTGCAGAGTTTAACCATAACAGAGTGAAATGCATGTGAATTAAAGGCAATTAAAAACAGTCTAAAGCACAAACAAATATAACAATTGTAACTTTAATAAATATTAAAGGTGCAGTATGTAAGTTTGACAACCAGTGATTGAACTAGGTATTGCATTCCTGGTTCAAAACAAAGAAGCGCAGGTTGCTACATTGGTGACACCAACAGGAGCGAGTCTGACTATTGAACCTAAAGGCTGATTTAAATTGTGTTCTATATAAATGCAACAACACGAAAGAAGAAATCTTTCTATATTAAAAAGAGTTTTTGTCTTAACCAACACCTGAAATTCATATTTTAGAAACGGCTTCTATTTATCCCCTCAGGTACACCTCTTGCTTTATTCAGTGTAAAATGCAAGCAATGTGAGTTTGAATGCCATTTTACATGACATTTATTGCCAAACAACTGAAAACAGCAGCACATAGTTCACCTCAGATCTAGAAAATAAACCAAGTTTAGAACTGGGGTTCAAAACCATAAACTTTACCATTTTGTGAGTGAGTGCACTATTCTGTGCTTCTGAATGGCTGTTTTTACATTTCTGTTGTGTTTCATCTGGTGCAAACAGCCAAATTGCTTATCACTGCGTATCTCGTCATGTAGCGTGTTGCAAAAACTAGAACACACAAGACATGTCACTCCGCCTACTAGTACAGGAGCCAATTGACAATCGTACAGTATTTGGTAAATAAAGCCAGACTTCTAGTACAGGTGCCAATCATCGATCGCTATAAACTAACGATACTCCAGGGGAAGAGCTTGGAGCAGACGTGAGTTCTGCCGATTCTGTGTGATTTGGACATTTAGAAATGAAACTAAAGTTTCAGCTGTTGTTTAATTTCAATGATGATTCCTAATATGAAATTCAATCGTAAGCTTGGCGAGCAGTTTTGAAGAATTTGAAATTTCCCATTCAGACAGAACGCCTGAGTATTCTGCCAAAGAGGCGTTTCAAAGATGGCCACTGAGTGAAATGATTTGCTTTAAAGGGACTTTCCATGCTGTCAGGACATGGGGTTACAATGAAACCTGCTCACCTAATGTTTACGTTCGTAATATTTACATTATTTGTTAATTAATAACCTCATATGGAATCTTCGTCACATTTTAAGTTGCATTTTGGTCACGGATGCATGCTTTGAGAGCCTTTCTGAATAAATGAATGAAATATGCTGTTTTCTAACAAGACGACCCGGGGTGCTGAAATATAATTGGCTAAACTGACATTGGGCGGGTTAAAGGAGCCTAAACAAACACTCACATTTTCAAAGCAGAATATCTGACTTTAGCATTGTTTTTCAGATAAACAAGAATGTTCACTTAGCATGTTTCCTAAATATCTGCAAACATATGATGGTATTTGTATGCTTCAGAAGAGTCAAAAGTGTACAAGCAGCACCTTTAATATTAATGAACTATTAATATAATGAAGACTATACAGAAATTTTATTTTTTTAATGTCTGTACCTGAATATTGACTTTTCAGAAAACCATAAAGTTAAACAAGTTAAAAATTAACTATTTCTTTCCTAATCGAGATATCCAGCCATCTGGTGAAATTGTATTCATATTGCAATATATATTGAAAAAAAATAAAACATTGCAATGTCATGTTTTTTCAATATCTTGCAGCCCTACATTTTTCAACACATCTTCTTATGTGTTTATCAGGAAAAAGAAACTCATAAAGGTTTGAACCACTTGAGATTAAATTAATGTTCAGTGCATTTTCATGTTTTGGTGAACTATCCATTTACTTCGGAACAGCTACATTTTTCCCACATGTTTAGCTAAAAACGGCCAAATCCAGAGTTATGCCAATTGTTTCGTTCGAGGCCTTGATTTCAGCACGACCGTGCTCTTGACGGCTCTGGCTCTTCAGAGCTTAAACCCTGAACAGAGCTGATAATGCACCTCGCTTCATTAGGAAACAAAATATCAGCTTTCCACACCATTAGGGACGGTTTCGTACATGGGACACAGACTCACCTCATCAACAATGCACTGCAATAACTGAAGAGGCTGCGATAGAGGGGGGTAGAAGAAAAAGAGATTAGACCCCATACAACGTCCTTACAGTGCAAAGGAAATAAAATCATTAATGCAATAAAACAGGTAGCAATACAGCTTAATCAAATGCACTCTGACTCGGAAAAAGCCATTTGATCTGTAATGTTTTCTTATTTCTAATGGAACCTAATCTGAATACAGGCTGTTAAGATGGAGCGTATTATTGTCTGGTATTAACTTTAGAGGGAGGCAACCATGCGAGGTGAGATGAAAACTGTGAGGGGTTGCAAGAAGAGCCGCCTACATCTCTGGAAATGCACGAAAAACACTTACCATTAAAGAGCCCTGGTTCTTTTGAATCTGTATAAGGAGAAAAAAGGGAGAAAAGGATTTAGGTGAGAATGAAAAAGCGAGAGTGAAAACATGCAATTAGCATGTTACAATCACAAGCACTGCACCAGGACATGCTGATGATCACTAGGGGGAGATTATGAAAACCCTGATGGCAAGATATGGGCATGATGTGTTAACATCGTTTACATAATGAAAACACAGTCGATAATAGCCCGATCCTCAATTAGGATAAGCTTCACCAAGCATTTTTGTTTATTATTAATTTCATTTTCCTGCATTGTAATCACCTCTAGGTTTACATCTTTTGTCTCTACATGCACACAGACCACAAAAATCATAAAGTTTGTAGATAAAATGGTGATTATTTAAGGAATTATCTTATATTTACATGCGCATTTTTAATAATACCAGTTCTGCTAGATAAAAGCAAAACTTATTTACATATTTTGTTGTTTGAAATGAAAGAGTACTTTTTCCACAACCTCCTACTTTAAATTAACAGCTAATGTTGTGAGGCTGCTCTGATGACATCTTACGCTAGTCATTGATTCTCCTTCTCAATTAAACACGGAGCAACTCCCTTTAAATACCTGGAGACACTGGACCCTTAATGTAGGAACTAAATAACTTGCAGCATTGGATAAAACTGCAAAGCACTCAAATCACAGGACAATTAGATGCATAAATATTTGTTGTATGTGCTGTTTTTTAATTAACCCACTGGAGTAAGATGAAATACTTCAATCTTATCTCTACTAAATCAAAACCGCTTTAAATACATGATTTTGGCTCCTTTTAGGAAGAGTTTAAAGCACTACAATTGATTAAATTAGGTCCAAAATGGAAACTAAAAAAAAATAAATAAAATATAAAATAAAAATGAATTAAAAAAATAAAACAAAGCCGTTCCTTTTATTCCAAAAAGGTTGTAATTATTTGTGACAATTTTTCTCCAGTGTACAGATACAAATTAAAAAGATGCAAAAACTGTTCAACAAAACCTCAATTTTTGGTGCAATCCTGAAACCCATTCAGCCCAAAACAAGATTGTGGACGAGACTGCACCAACATTGTTTTGTCTGCTCTCCAGTTTAATCATAAAAAATTGGACTGGATCTGGAATGGAATGACTACACAACTCTTTTGCCAAATTTTCAGACTTCTAGATTATAGAAATGTTATAACTTTATAAACAATATCACATACCAAATTGTTTTCAATAATTTGTGATTATTAACAGCTTTAAAATGTTGTAATTATTTGTGAAATTCACCATCAATAACAATTTTTCTCCAGTGTATAGATACAAATGGAAAAAATGCTTACACAAAATCAAAGACTGTTCAACAAAATCTCCAATGTTTCCAACCATGTGACCCATTCAGCCCAAAACAAGATGACAGACGATACTGCACCAATATTGTTTTGTCCGCTCTCCAGTTTAATCATGAAAAACCTGGACTGGATCTGGAATTATGTAACTCTTTGGCCAAATTTTCAAACATCTTGATTACAGAAATGTTATAAAGTTATGAACGCATAAAATTGTTCTCAATAAGGCCATGGCTGTGATTATTAATGTTCTTAAGGGTTAGTTTTACAACAACAATCTTGCTGCTGTGATGTTGCTTAAATGTAGCATTAAAGCTCTGGGAGAGCAAATGCATACAGTAAAGTCAGATGAACATGGGGCTCAAAATGAGCTCAAACCAAAACAGCCGGAAAACAGAAAAGGCAACAACAAATCAATCAGGAGGAGAAGCGCTGGAGGCTGTATACACACGCCAGCCAGTCTGCAGTCTTCAAAGATTTTCCGAGCGAGCCATCGAGAGACGCCATTAACTCCTGACAAAGAATGCAAATTAATCCCAACATGGGGTGAGACGAAATTAAAGAGCCTTTTATAATCAATGACAAGATAACAGAGAAAAAACACACACACACACACACACAAAACAGTGGCAGATTTGTGGCTGTGAGTGCGAGTAGAGCGGGGGGGGGGGGCAGGGCATCAGAAGTTGATGCCGAAATACAACGGGCATCTCTCGAGATCTCGCCATACAATGGACAATGACTCCGCGAGCGTGTGTGTGTGAAAGAGAGGGAGAACAGACAGATGCCTAGGCTGATGTGAGTGACAGGCCAGGCCTGAGGTAGCGTGTGTGCTGGCTGGGTGGCGTGTGCACGCGTGTGTGTGCGATGCCTGCAGGTGAAGAGTCTGCAGCACCATATGGAGCTGTGAAAATTAACATCAAGAGCAAAAACGCTCTAGCAGTGGGAGGTTGAGCTCTCCCTCTCTTTCTTACTGACTAACCCCCTCCTTCTTTCTCCTTCATGCCTTTCTCTCTCTCTCTCTCTCTCCATTTCATTCCATATGAATTCTAAAACGCAGGAATTGGAAAAGGGAGAGTTAAGGCAGATTAAAGGAGGAAGTAATAAATTAATGGGGTGTGTATACATGAAATGCTTCAGCAAAATGCCTCTGGCTCTACGGGGCCAAGAACAAAAGTTTTGCCATTCAGTGGTTTCAATTGCAATCACTTTATCTGATAATGATATATGGTGTGATGCACTTGAAATAGAAACGTAGACTTAAATTCATTCCACGCATTCCTGTGTCCATTTTTTGGTGGGAATGTTTTTGCTAAAAAGAGCAAATGTAGGCCTAAAAACAAAAACATCAACATTTAACATCAACATATCCAATCATGACTGTAGACACTATGCGTTTGAGGGAGTGTTTGTGTGTTCATGTGAATACATTAGTTTATGTAATAATACTCGGTGGATTAACATGATAATGGCCCTGTTAATAGATAATGCTGAAGAGCAGAGGAAAACAATTTCAAATGAGACGAGCCTCCGGGCCACAGGATAATGCACGGATGCACTCATACAACACCCTGGCCTCTAGTCCTCCAATGTTCTTTTCAAGCCATCAGCTGTTGTGAAATATTAGTTAGTGCCCCTGTGCATCTCTGCTAAATCTGAATCAGAATGTACGATTAATCACATACTATTCTATCAATTTCATATTTTGCACATCAATTTTATATTTGACCTTTTTGGCATTGTGCACAATAGCCCAATAAACGAGTGATGTGTGAGATAAAGTACAAACACACACTAGAGCCAAGCCCAGCCTCCGTGACTGCTCGATGCTCAAGGCTTTTGGCTCTAGATGCAGCCTCAAAATGTTTCTTTTCTGATTTCCTCTGCATGCCCTGAGTGGCTGCTTTGTTTTAATATGCTAATTAACCCAACAGGCATGCTGGGAGTAATTTATTGAGCATTAGTCAACATTTCCCTCATTAAACTCACTGCACTCTTACATGCAGAACTTTAAAAGCTGAGAGTCTTGATTAGAGAAAACTAGGGCACTGAATCTGATGCATGCGTACAGTATAGTTCGATATAAACATGCTTGAAAATGGTCACATGACTAAATGAATGAAGTAATAGTGTACGAAGCAATAGATTTAAGCTTTATGGCATTAGTTAATGAATTAGGAATTATCAAGCAGATTCACTGCATTTGTGCATTTTGGTTAACGTAAATTTTCCCATACATTATGGTTGAAAATGTAGGGGTTGGTATAATTTATTCATATCTGTAATTTTTTTAAATAATAATAATTTATGTAAGAATTTTTTTATAATTTGTATTCATATTGTATGCCATAATATGATTGAAAATACAGAAGTCAAAATTCCTGTCTTTGGTGTCATATGATCTTACTTTTTTCCATTTTAATTATATCTTCAGAAATTTTAATTTATATCTTTAGAAATTAATTATTTTAAGATTTTTTGGTGAATATCCACTTGTTAAGTGTGATGTCATGCAAAGCGACTTCTGCGTCCAAAGGCTGTATCAAACTGTATGAAAGGGCTCAACAAATGGTTTAAAAAATGTTTACAAAGCAATGTTTTACTTCAAAAATCACAATCGAAAATATATTCATCCATGCCTAATATGCAATGGGCAGAAAGTGAATATTTTTTAAATAAATTGTTAAATATATATTGATATATGATGAATATTGATGTCTGTGATGCAGCTAGTCCAGAGACTGTTGTGTACACCATTATTTTATATGATTAACTTAAATGTGCAATATGACTAAGAAGTAGTCATAAACGAATATTTTCTCAATTCAAATAAGTAGTGGCTTGGACCCGGAAACAGTATTTTATATGTCATGACTTAACAAGCTAAAAAATGAATTCTATAAAAGTGTTACATATTTATGTCTTGTGTATATCTGTAATATCTAACCAAATTTAACCATTTGTTAAGAATCCGATGTACAACATAATAAAGGAGTTTTAAAGACTATTTTTACAAAATGATTTTCATATTTAGGTAAATATTTAAATGATAAACGTTTTACAGATCTAACTTGCACTCTAAAAATGTATTTTTTTCCAAACCGAAATTAAGATAAATTCTGTAAATGCTATTTAAAATAAGTTTAATGCATTAAAATTTAACCCAACGGTTGGGTTTGTCTATACTGAACATTTTGGAGTGTATTATAAAGTGTATTCTCTCAAAATAATCCTCATAAATGTAAGTAATTTAACAAGCATGGTTAAAGTTTTTCTGAAAAGCAATGCTATTTTTAGCAGAGTTCAATTTAATTAGTACACCTACATAAGCACATTAAACAAAGTGCACAAGATGTCATACTATAGGCAACATAAATTGACTTGCTTTGTGCATGGGTGCCATGTGGTTCCTAAACTGGGAACCTTCCTAATGATTCCGGATTATAATCCGGGTTTGTCTAGGATAATCTTGATAAATCCCCGCATGAAATCTTATTACAAGGTTGATGGGATTGAGGAATGGAGCGGGTCAACGGGACTGTATGTAATGTAAGCTGAGTAAACAAGGGTGGGATGAGCGGTTGTTGGATGAAGAGCTAGTTAATTACTGCCCATACGCTAAGACCACAAAGAAACGGGCATTCAAGGTGCGGACATTCAGAAGCAGAACATTGAATTGGTTAAATTTGATATAAATCTGGTATATGCAAACTCACCTGTGGATATGGAAAAGAGCCCAGAGCCAACTGTAAGTGAAAGAGCAGAGGGAAAATTAAGTATACATTTAAAGCCATCATCTTTACAGCTATTGTGTCCTAAAAATGACAAAGAAATCTGCTAAAAAAAAGAATATTAAAAATCAACTTCTTCAAAATAAAAATATCTGAACAATAAATAAACTTATTAAACTACTTTTTCTAAATTTTCTTAAACAATTGTAAAGTATGGTACTGAAAGTACAGACAAGTGTTTAGAGTATATTCGGTAATAATGTTGTAAATAATGTTAAATTACTAGCACAGACTGACTTCTTTGCATCATAAGACCATAACGAGCAACGGATATTAATTTTGTTTTGCCTGTTTATTGTTGTGAATCTCAAAGTGCTGGTTACTGTTGTTTTGCATTCTATGAATCAACATGAGTCAAAATTTCAGGTAAAAATATAGTTTAATGTTAACTACAAAGTCAACTACACCTCATATAACCTGAGGATAAGTAGCAGAAAAAACACTGGTGCAACAATCCCTATGCAATATTTATTTATCAATTTATTGCATAAATATTAATTAACACTATTTAAATATTTATAATTAATTAAAATATGTAATATTAAACAACACACTACAGTTATATTTATTATCAACTGCTTTACATGTGCATTCGTATGTTAGTCAACATCAAAATAAGTTTACTTATTTAAGCACGACAGACAATTATTGAAGTACAAGTTTATTTTATACATACAAGACTTAAACATAGCAGTGTAATAAAAGGTAAAAAAAAAAAAAAAAAACATCATTTTGGGGGTATTACCATTTTTTTCAAATAAAAATGTACTTAAAGTGAAAGATAGTCCCCAAAAAATTTTAATTATGCCATTTGCTTAGCCTTCAGTTGTTCAAAAGCTAATTTTCTTTCATCTATTAAACACAAAAGAATGTGTTTATAGAATATAAAAAAGAATATATATATAATTATTATTATTATACTAGAAGTGGGGGGGGTATGTTGCTTTCACACTTTTTCACAAAGGTTTAATAATTGGTTTAATTCCTAATACTGTCTACATCCCAGCAACACAGCAGGAGTATACATTAATCTGTGAAGACTAGAGTACATGCTGGAATTACCAACAGACGCAGAAAAAGCAGCAGAACCAAAAAGCAAAAGTCAAACTTAACTATTTTTAACCTTTCCATTAATTGCACGCCATTTACATATATAAAATTAACCCAAATCAAACCACACTACATTAGGTTATTAAACCCATCTTATTTCAGAAGGTAATTTCATTTCATTAGTTCAGAAATCTGCCAACAGAACACATTGATAACTCAATGCTTAAACATCCCACAACCGAGCCGAATCAATCTCGTCCCAATCCACACAGTAAGATCAATACTAAATCATAATCAGATCCATATACTGTTCATCAACTCATGATAATGCCAATCCATACGACCCTTGATATTTCCCTCCCTAAACATCTCACTGATACTATCTAACAGTATTGATAAACACAATCAACGGATTGACTCGAGGGATACAATAACAATTCATCACGGCCAATGAGAAGCGCTGACAATTACAAAATGGGAATCAATAAAGCCAATGAGAACTACCAGCACGGCATTTTCAGGACACGAGTCCAACCACCATATTAAAATCTAATCCACTCATTCGTACAATTCATGCTGCTGGTTTCTGCTTAGAAAAACATCCATTACTAAAAAAAAATAACCTACTCGTACACCTATCTTCTCTTTTTCAGAAACACACACACACATAAACACACACCTCTAGAGTTGAGAACACAGCACTCTAATTACTGGACGTTCTGCTGGCTGAGTGATTGATAGTGTTTTGCCACACTGACTCCAAACCTTCCACTCTTACACACAAGCACTTTCACACACACTTTTATCCTCAATAAAAACACACATAATATTTATTAGTTCCTATTTTTTTATTTATAGAACCACATGCATACACTTTCATTCCTTATTCTATGCTTGAATGGGAATTGGAGAGTCCAGAAGGATAGCAGAGCAAAAGAGCTGTGCGTGTGTATGTGTGTGTGTAGCAGTCAGTGGGAGATCTCGAGTGTGATCCATGCATAGCTGTAGGCCAACATCTGTTTGGACAGGCTGCCTGCAGGGACTATCAACAGCACTCAGCAGAAACCCTAAGACACAAGTCCAGCCGAAACTACAAATGCTGGAATGTGTGCGAGTATGTGGGTATTTGTAAGAAATTACTGTATGACTGTTTTACCTCCATGAAAGAGATCCCTACGCTCCACACGTCAGAGTGAATACCATACTGTTCCCCAGATATCCGCTCTGGCTATTGAAGCAAAGATGGATAAAAACAGATAAAGAATCATTATATATTGCCTACAATGATGCTGTGGCACACATTCATTTCTTTTGTGCAGTGGTTGCTTTGAGATATTTAACAAGGACTGTTGTCTATATGTGTGTGTGACTATCTAAAAGCATTTGATTTTTCTGTTAATGATTGTGTGCAGTTTAGGTGCATACTTGACTGAAAGCCTTTACAACTAAACATGACATAAAAAAAGACCTATGCCTTCTCTACCAGAGTAAGCTCTGAAAAGAAGCATTGTTACACAGGAATGAATGCTGCTTACCGCCATGTATGCGTTGGTTCCGACATACGTTTTTGCAATGGAATTCACCAACTGAAGAAGAAAGGAAGAGATAAATATCAAAAGGGGCAGGTCAATGATAATAAAATCAATCAGTGTGAAGGTTTTCGGAATCATTTTAGAGCACGACTATGAGGTTAGTAAGGGGTGGTAAACTACTCGCATTGTCACAATGCTAAAATTACTGTCGTTTGTTAAAATCCTGATAAAAAATCCTGATAAAAAACTGCTATTGTGATATTTAAATCATATAAAAGAGAATTAACACACACACACACACACACACACACACACACACACACACACACACACACACACACACACACACACACACATATATATATATATATATATATATTTTAAATCACTCATAAAAATGTACCTATTAAGCTTGGCCTTTTTATATTATTTTAATAATCCTTTCTACTGCATCTTTTTTCATTGTCAGTCATTTCTCTAGGCTTATTTTTATGCTTTTATATTCAGTCTTTTCATTTTACTTTGACTTATGTACAGCACTTTGGTCAGACTTGTGACTGCTTTTAAATGTGCTTTTTAACTAAATGAACTTGAACTATATTGAAACATTTATAAAAACAGTAAATAAAGCCATTTGAAATTGTAATTATTATTCATTCATTCACTTTCTTTTCGACTTATTCCCTTTATTAATTATGGGTCGCCACAGCTGAATAAACCACCAACTTATCCAGCATTTTTTTTATGCAGCTGATACCCTTCCAGCCGCAACCTCATTCACACACATACACTACCGTCAATTTTAGCATACCCAATTCACCTGAACCACATGTCTTTGGACTGTGGGGAAAACCAGAACACCCGGAGGTAACCGAAGCGAACACGGGAAGAACATGCAAACTCCACACAAAAATGCCAACTGACCCAGCCGAGGTTCGAACCAGCGACCTTCTTGCTGTGAGGTGAACGTGCTACCCACTGCGCCACCGCATCACCAATTGTAATTATTAACCAAAGTAAATTTTTATTAACCAAACATTATCAAAATAAATAAAATTGCATGTGTCAGATTTCATGATTTTGGCCCACATGTATTGCTGATGTTTGCATCTCATGACTTAACACAGGGTAGCAATGTGAGATTGCAAGCCAATGGGCAAAACGGCTGGTGTAAAAGCACCAACAAAAAAGAAAGACACTAGTCAGATGTTATTTTAGAGCAGGAATGAGGTTCAGCTGTGTCCTCTTCATTTTCTCTCTGATTCAGGCTCAAACTGATACAGCTACACTGACTGACAGTATTTACATAGCAGAGGCACAGCACGTGCTAGTAGAGGCGTGAGGCTTCCTAATAACGTAGAGCTGATCTGGAAATCACAGCACATTACGTTAGCTGACCAATCAGAGCCTCTTGAGGGTGAGCTTTCGGAAGGACTAGGAAATGTGATAGTCGTTTCCATGTCAGCTGAGTAGTATCAATGTAAGATATATGAAATAAATGACAATGGGCTGCGTCCGAAACCGCCTACTACTCAGTAGGTACTGCATTTGAATTTAAACGTACTACTCAGCCGTTAGAAAAGTACGTTCTATACAGTATGAATGGGAAAAGTATGAATGGAGTTCGGACGTACTACACCCGCCATTTTGTCATGATCAGGTGACCTACCTGCGTCAATTGCGTTGCATCACTTCCATTCATGAATTCGCTCGCGGGGCATCATGGGATAGTGCAGCATGCATGGGATGCGCACTCCAGAATCTCGCCGGAAGTAGTAAGTCATCCAGGTACTTCTCGCATACTGATTTTCGAATTCTATGAATTCGGACATACTACTCGGCTCGCATACTGATTTTAGCGTACTATAAAGTATGGAAGTATGCATTTCCGGATGCAGCCATGATTTTTTTTTTTTTTACAAATAAAGTATGAGCAGATATTGCTTTGCATCCCGGACATCCAAGCCTTAAAATATATTCTGGACCACTCCTTTATGCAGAAAAAGGTCTAACCAAGCCTATGAGATGAGAACACAGGGCCATTGCAGACCAAGCATGATTTGATGGCAAGTTTTACTTCACTTAGTTTTCTTTCATAGCTTAACTTTTTCAGCAAACTTTTGACCAGGTGTTTGTGTAGTGTAGTGAAGGTGGTTAAACAGAAGTTGAAAAGCTTACACTTTAAAAAAACAAGGAAAAAGCAAAAAAAAATCATGAAATGGCTGACAAAAATGCACTTTTGCCAAAAATTGTCCTGGTGTGCAATAGCCTTTTCAAGAGAAGACCATGGCAGTGGATTCAGTGAACAAATATTGAATATTATAGATAAATACACAGTATGCATGTTAAGAAATTCAAAAGCAAAACTAAAAAGCAAGCACGAATTCAAAGCAGTTGTAAAAAAAAAGTTTTGGTGTTGCTGATGTAGAGCAGTTGATGAAGTTTAATTGAGATTGGGATTGTTGGTGAATGTATGCGTGTTAATGGCCAGATTAGGTAGCTATACATGGACAAAAACAATTAAGAGCGGTTACAAAGAGATTTATTACCTACAACACAATATTTCAGTAGATATGGGACTTTTTATGGTCTAAAATTTAGCTTCTACGATTTAAGACATTTTAATACTTTTTAAGACCCTGCGGCAACCAGCAACATAGTTATTATCTCTGTTCAAAGTACAAATGTGACAGTAGGTGACTGAAGCTCTCTGCCACAAGCTAAAGGACAGAGTAAGATGAACCGATTGAAATCTTCAGCAAAAAGACTTTGTTATTGTGCAGTGTTATTGAAATGCCAGCCTGGTTTAATTTTAGTCTATACCCTCACAAGGGAGAGACAGTGAGATCCAGGCACAATGGCGTATGTCAGCAATGACAGGGAAAACATAATGAGAGCGCTCCCCGGCGGCCTGACGTGCATCTGTGTGCGTAAGTGAATAACTGAGACATAGGTTTACTATACAGTGTCATGGTCTGGACGGGCACAGAGGAGAAAGCACACTCGCACCTCATCCAGGGGTCAGTTTCAATTCGAATCTCTTCAGGGAACATGGGTATGAATATTAATTAAAAGTGCGCCGTTTGGAGTGATTGGTCCCCATTGTTGGACTCCTGAGTGTATTAGAGATGCTGACTTTCTCAGTCTGAGCCATTGTCTCCATGCACACGCAGGAGCACGCCGTCACTCACATGCACTGAATATCTGCTCAATGTGGTAATTAGAAAGAGCTGGAAGTAAGAGGAGAGGAGCAATCTTGAGGCTATCTGGGGGTTAGGGAGCAATGCCAATGGGAATCTCTGGAGGAAACTGATGGAGGAGAGAATGGGGACATGGAGGCTGATGGGACAATAGATGTTCTCATCTGATTGCAATCACAACATACAAAGAGACTCTTGTGTAAATATACACGCAAATATGCATACAAATAATCGCTTGATTGGAGTTTAAAAAAAAACATACCTGTGTGCTGACACCAAAGTCGCAAAGTTTGACTTGACCTCGTGTGTTGACCAGCATGTTGGATGGTTTGACATCTGCACAGAGAAACAATGCATTTACATAGAGACGCCAAATTATATTGTTTTTCAGCTTTTGATAACAATGTGCTATAAGCAGAGCTAGCGTTTTTCAGCCACAGATAAACCTCTGGTAATTGTGATTATTTCAATTTCATAAAGTTCCTTCTACATCATCAATGTTGTAATGTAACTAAAATTTAACCAGTTAAATAGACTTAATCATTCATTTAGTTGTTCAAGCGTAAAATGAGATGAAAGCCTGTTTAAACACAAGCGCTGTCAGGATCAGCAGGCAAGTGCAGAAACTCCATTGAAAATGTGGTAACATAAATGTCAATTTTTTTTAAAGACATGGTGCAATACAAAGTAATTTAATGCCATGCTTCTTGTCCAGTCTGAGACGCACTTTATATCACGTCTCAATCAGACAGTGAAGATCATCGATTTTCAAAGAAACAAGACACTAAATGTGATAATTTTGTAATTGGATGACAAAAAGTCACTGAAAGCTCTGGATCTAGCTTTCTGAAAATCAAAAGTCCTTATGCATATACCCCATTGTCATTAGATTAGGCATTGTAATCTTGTAGGGAGTCAAGTTTAATAATTTCTTGCATGTGTTATTCCAAAACTACATTTATAAATAGTTAACTAGTTAGTTCCTTTTTTCAGATTTCATATAAAGTCATTTCTGTTTTTAGGTTTTGAGATTAGGGCAGTGGTTCCCATATAGTGCGGGTAGGGACCCCCTGAGGGTTCCGGGACAATGATAGAGGGCCGCTTGGTGATTTCTAAAAGACAAATAAATTTTAATAAACTATTAAAATTACCATATTTTAACCATAACCCACAGAAGATAAAACAGTATTTTTTAATCAAAGAATTGATTTAGAACAACACAGCAATAGCATCAGCTGCAGCAGATTGATTTTATAGCACCAGCTTAAACTTTCTGACACCTTTATGGTAATCAAATATATTAAAAATAAATATACAGGCCACAACTGAATATTGAGAATGATCTCTGATTGGCCTTCTCCAAAATTAAACCAAGAATAGACTTGTGCTGAAAACATTGTGTCCACCAGTCTCTTTAGCTGAGGTTAATTTTAAATTAAACTGTTTAATAAATGACTATAAAATTATATGGTTGTTAGACTGTTGCAATTTTTTGTGTTGTCAATATGCTAGTGTTTATATAGGCCTTGTTGAGTGTGCAACGTTTGTATATTTATAACCACCCCCAAGGAATTTAGGGGGTTGCGAATCTCTGCCATTGTTATTTTAAGGGTAGTGGGCTGAAAAGCTTGGGAACCCCTGGATTAAGGGCAAAATTGGTAAATTATACATTAATAAATGTCAGGTTTACTACACATTACTAGATCATGTGACAACAACTTTTGAATTGATTAATAATTTGACTGTGCAAATGAAAAGTAATGTAGAATCTAATTAGAAACATTTTTATGTAATGCATAATATTTACCCTATAGCTCCTATAGAATACTACCAGATAGCACAGTAACAGACATCTCAGCATGTTCTCACACACCACTGTTCAAAGGTTTGGGTTCTGTTTGATTTTTAAAGATGCAGTACTTTGAGTTTATTGCCATTTTTGTTTAAATCAGAGATGTATGAGACATATCTGCAAGTCACTAGAGAGTGCATCCTACTATGCATATACATGAAAGAGAATTTAAAATAATGATAAAACACAAAATTATTGTAATATTATTATTAACAATATTATTGTGAAACATATCCCTTTAGAATAGGGCTGCATGATATTGGAAAATTTTGATATTGCAATTTTTTTTATTCTGCAATACATATTGTAATATATATATATATATATATATATATATATATATATATATATATATATATATATATATATATATATATATATATATATATATATAATTTCACCAGATGACTTAAATATTTTTTTTTGTTTTCTTTTCTTTAGATTGATTGGGATGATTTTATATGGGAGTGAAATAAAAAAATATGTTATGTAATTAATTATATACATGTAATAAAAATACAGTCATGAATAACACAATGGAGCAAATAACAGTATTCAGTTACAAAAATGTTATAATCAAATGTAAATAAATGTACAATGCAATGCAGAGTCTACATTGTTTAATTAAATTAATATTTATTAAACTTTTTTAATCCTCTACTAAAATGCTTTGAACTCTCTTAAAATACGTACAAAGTCACAGACCTTGAAAACACATGTAAATAAAAAAATAACTTTCACTCTATTATGCTTAAATTCTGCAGAGTCTCCAGAAACCTCATGTGTTTTGACCTGTCGTTCTTGGTTAACTATAATCCGATCTCAACATTGCATATCTTGCGATGCAACTATTGCGGACACACATTGCGACATCGATGCTCAAACGATATATTGTGTAGCCCTGCAGCCCTACCCCTACTTTAGAACATCTAAAAATGTATTCCTGTTATGCCAAAACCAAAATCCTTGATAAATAGAGAGTTCAAAAGAACAGCTTTTATTATTTTTTTTTAACAAATGATACATTTTGTATCATAACAAATGTCTTTGCTGTCACTGAACTCTTGCTGAATGAAACTATTCATCTCTTTAAAAATAAAAACTATCTTTAAAAAAATCATCCTGACACCAGCATTTTAAACGTCAGTTTGCTTAATCTACTTCTAAAGACCTCAAAGACAAGTTCTTGCACTGATATCCAACATTTGGATATTTTTAATTTACAAGTTACATAAAAAGTGGCTTTCTCACCTCTGTGTAAAATCTTCAGGCTCCAGAGGTACGTTAATCCTTTTACCACCTACAGAGAGCAAACATCTTTATTTATTGAAAACAAACTCAAAAGAGGCTCAAAGGCTACGTGTGTGTCTATGTCTGCTGTCTGTAGAGGATAGAGCTGTAAATTATCTTAACAGTGGCGTATCTTTGATTATTGTCAGAAAGCGTGAGAGAGAGGGTAATGAGGGTCAGTACTGGGAGCAATGACAATTCAGCACTAATAAAAAGTGTTACACACGCGCTTACACACACAGGCTTGTTCTACTATCGTAGTGAGGACATAAGTATACGTGGAAAAAAATAGATATTGTTTCTCTATCAGGTTAATGACACTGTCTATGGCCTACCTCTATCTCTTCCCAACCCTTTACAGAAACATGTACGAAATTTTAGATGATAATAATAATAATAATAATAATAATAAAAGCATGTTCTGGCTAATTTATAAGCATTTTTTTTTAGCAACCAGTAAAACTGTCCTCACTAGTGGGTCCTTTTAATATCTCACTAAAGAAGTGAGGACAATTGAGACATCAAACAAACTCGCCTCAATTCACTGAAATATAAAAAAAATCCAATCTTTTAAGATATGCTTACTCAACAACAGCTCTATGGATTGAAAGGACTTACCGCAACAGCAATCCTGCCCAAAACATGCTCTGGGATTCTCCAATAAACATCCAGAGAGCCACCTACATCAAAATCAAATGACTGTTTTAAATTTGTGTATAATCGGATTGATGTTTTACTGAAAATGTTGAATCCCAGATGCCTGACAATGTCTAAGCAAATGAGACTTACCATCCATAAACTCAGTGCATATCGATATTCTGTTCTCCACAAAGAAAGCACTGTAGAACTTTATGATGTACGGAGAATCACACTGTAAACACAATCACAATTTTATTTTTTAAATGCTTGGGACTGGTAGGACTTACAATGCAATAATCCATTTATTTGTGCTACTGTTAGAGCAGGGGTGTCAAACTCAGTTCCTGGAGGGCCGCAGCACAGCACAGTTTAGTTCCAACTCTGTGTCATCACACAAATCAGTAGGTATCAAACAAGCCTAAAGGACTTAATTACAATTAGTTTGATCAGGTGTTTAATTAGGGTTAAAACTAAACTGTGCAGATTTGCGACCCTCCAGGAACTGAGTTTGACACTTGTGTGTTAGAGTACATGCTAGTTAATGGAACTTTTGTATGATTCACCTGATGGTTTTAATACTAATAGAAAATTTATATTATTGTGAAATGACATTGCAAATATTTTCAAGAATTTGAATGGTGGTTATTTATAGTGCAGTCCTATAATTTATGCAATGCAGGACTGGACACTTTTTTATAAAATGGGTTATGGACAGGTGTTGAAATTTTACACTGCTAAATTCTATTTAAATATAAAGTCTACATATTCTGCATTTCTCTATGAATGAATGGGGTGGTTTCATTTACAAATACACACATGCTCAAAAAGGTGTGATGTTCGTGTTTTTATTTTTTTTACAGTGATCTCCAGAGATCCTAGGAGTCACTTAACAAAAAATGTACCATTTTATGTGAGAAAAATGACCTTTACATCACAAACAGACAGACACACAAGTGTATTTATGACAACACATCAAAACAGTAGTATTATTTAATGAAGAATTTGCCACAGAAATACAGACCTATTAATGCAATACAATTTCTCGGTTAAATAATAATGAATCCAAGATAATATCTAAAAAAAATAGAAACAGATTCCATACAAACTTGATATAGTAATTTGCGTGGTACTAATTCATTCAGAATGTAAAACTGGGCTGATTATTCAATGTGATCAGCTCGTTGTTGCAAAGGGTGATTGGTAATACATTAAAGTCTATCTGGCAGCTGTTGTCCGAGCAGGTTACTGGAGCAGATGGACTGAACTGCATAGGCATTGATCCCTGAATAATTTATGGCACTTCTTTCATACTTATCACAGTCACCTCACATACGCCTAATCTGAAAACTGAAACTGCACACACCACTCAAAACATACATGGTTTTCACCTGGAACAGAACTCCAAACTACATCAACAGCTAAACAAGATGTACAGTGCAAAATATTGATAGTCTTCAGGGTGTTACTTTTCACAGATACTCTCAAAGTGAACAAAGTGACACTTGAGTGCCTGAGAGAGGGCAAATTGCTCTAACTTCATATAGAAAGGAAGTTGAGAAACTGATATGACTACAGCACTGAAAGCTGCAGGTTAAACTGGGTGTGCACGGTTACTAAATTAGGTTGCTGTTTCTCTCTGTTAAAAAGAGGATTGAAGTGCAGCAATAGTAATCTTTATACAAGTACAAATGAAGTAATCAAACAAAGTAAAGAAAGGTTCAAACCTTATAAAGTATCTCAAGCTCTGACATGATCTGCTTCTGCAGCTCCACTGTGATGTCAAGAGGAATAACCTGCAATACAAACACACTCCAATCAATATCATGAACATTTGCCACAAATAAAACCTATTTACACCCAAACAAAACACTTAAAAAGTCTGTGTGAAGTCTAAATTAACAATGTTCATTTTGCTAGCGCACATTGTTATTTTTTAAGTGAACAATAAATGTGTGCAAGTTATTCCACTGAAAAAATTTTTTCTTTGGGAACCTTTAATTAAAGTCTGACAATTTGCTTCCGTGTATGAAATGGAAGTCCTTTTGTTGACATCAGTTTGACATCCTCAGCCACAATATTCCTAGCAACGCCTCTCTAACCATTACGCTGATTCACATGGGGCTTTAGCGCCAATGCTTGAAAGAGAACGTGTCTGAAGTTGGGGCTGGTGCGGTCATCCTAGCAGCATCAGCCAATGAAACAAGTCTGCAATCGGCTACAGTCTGAACTAGGGAATTTGCATGAAGCGTTCTGATTGGCTGACGCTTCTGTTGGCGCTTGGATAGTTGAGAAATTCTCAACCTCAGCAGCAAGCAACGCTGCTGAAGCTGTGCCGCCTGACCCACAATTCAGTTTGGCAACGCTTATCGTCACTCATTCAAAGTGTATAGGAAGCAGTGACGCTGACGCCCCGTATGAATGGCGCGTTAGTTTGTCACAAGACAATGATGCACAAAAAGAAAGCATCACCCTCTACTCAATATTCTGTTTCAGTCAGAAGTAGATCGACATACTGAAGTCCTAAAAATCTCAGCTACTTCTGATTCACACAGACTTTTAGTAAGGGTATTTTTACATTTCTTGTTTGGAGCATTGGTTTCATTTTTTATTTGCATCTTTTCCATTAATTTAGGAAAATGCATTCATTCATTGCATTTTTGCTTTTACTGACACAAAAGTATTTTGAAATAAATCGAAGTTGTAGAAGTACAGGGTAATGGCATCTTTAAAGGTCCACGATTGGGACTTGAACTCAGGACACCTGAAGTACAACGGCATTATATATAGTGGACCACCCTATAGGCTTTCCAGGGTTTCTACAGGTTTCAAGTAAAATTAAACACTTTATTAGACCTTTTTAAGACCATTATGAAGGAAATTTCAGACTTTCGCAAAAAAAAAAAAAAAAATTCTTTTTCGCTAAAGATTTTTTTCAAATGGCCCAGTTAAAACATTAAAAAAACATTAAAAACTAATGTTATTGTAAGGAAGACAATTAAACCACATGTTTAAACATATAAATATAAATAGAGTTGGTAAATAGAGTTAACAAGTAAGAGTTAATAAATAAACTTTTATTAAAACTTTTATTGAGATAGATTGATTGGGTAGTTTTACATGGACATAGGAAAATTAAGACCCGTTTAACATGATTCAAGACCTACAACACAAATATTACAGTAAATTTAAAACTTCTTAAGGACTAAAATTTTGATTTTGGAATTGAAGACATTAACATTTTTTAAGACCCAACGGACAGCCTGTAAGCACAGACAAATTGGTCCAAGATTAGCTGAACAAGGAAATCTCTATGGAACATTCCATTAAAATTCAATTTAAAGAACTCTGGCACAGTTTGGCAAAGAAAACAATCTGACCCAACAAACAAACAAACAAACAAACAAAACAAACAAACAAAAGTATCATAATTAATAATAGAAAAAGTGTTATATGAGAAATACGTAGCAGTGTCTTATACTGGGAGTATGTTAGTTATGATGTCTCATCACGTATCAGGTTCATCTGTCTATTGTTAACTGATTGCTATGGCTGTATGAAGCCTGATCCTTTATTTTACGTCAGCAGTCACGCATGTGTCTTGAGCAAAGCATGCAACTTCTGACAGTAATGCACAACTAAACTGTTTCCTGTGTGGAAATGCAAAAGTAGTATAACAAAATGCAATACAAGAATATTTATGAATGGGAGCAACAGAGCTTTGTTCATTTTTACTAATATGATACAGCACATAAAAATGGTGCTGCAACTGCCTCTGAAAGAAAATAGAGGATTTTTCTGTGTTTGGAGAGTTTGCAAATTAAACTATCATGAAAAATAATAATCAAACTGACAATACTTTTTAAAGCATTACAGAACTACTTATTTGTCACCATACATGCTGGATTGATTTTAATAACCTTAAAATGTGCAAGCACACCTAGTACTAGGACAACACAATTATCAGATTGGGTCTCTGCAGATACTTGATATAAAATGACTCGGATCAGAATGAGAGCACAGAAAACTTGATCAGGACATCTCCAGTTATCAGCTGAAATACAAAGAACACCTCTTCATCTTAAAAATGCTATGTAATAGGATAAGTGGATTAATGAGGAACCCCAATAGTAAATCAATGGCTACATGCAGTCTTCAAGCATTATTCCATTTAGACTTTCTCCACAGCCATGCAAAACAAAGCCTTTTTTGTTTGCTTGTTTTTACCTTTAAGGCTAAAATCATGTCTATTAGATGCATTTAAGATTAAATACAAATAATAATACTTCGCAGTTCATAAGTAGATATACAGTATATACACTCACTGGCCACTTTATTAGGTACAACTGCTCGTTAACGCAAATTTCTAACCAGTCAATCACATGGCAGCAATACATGTAGGCATGTAGACATGGTCAAGACGATCTGCAGCAGTTAAATTGAGCATCAGAATAGGGAAGAAAGGTAATTTAGGTGACTTTGAACATGGCATGGTTGATGGTCTGGTCTGGGTATTTCCGAAACTGCTGATCTTCATGCCATTTCTAGTGTTTATAAAGAATGGTCCAAAAAAAAAAAAAATCCAGTGAGTGGCAGTTCTGTGGGTGCAAATGCCTTGTTACTGCCAAAGGTCAGTGGAGAATGGCAAAACTGCTTCCTGCTGATAGAAAGACAACAGTAACTCAAATACCCACTTGGTACACAACTGAGGTATACAGAAGAGCCTCTCTGAATGCACAAAGCATCGAACCTTGAAGCAGATGGGCTACAGCAGCAGAAGACCACACCAGGTGCCACTCCTGTCTGCTAAGAACAGGAAACTGAAGCTACAATACGCACTGGCTTACTAAAATTGAACAATAGAAGGTTCTGATCTGTCTCGACAGAGTGTCGACTTCTGCAGCGACATTCAGATGGTAGGGTCAGAATTTGGCATCAAAAACATGAAAGCATGTCAACTGTTCAGGCTGCTGGTGGTGGTGTAATGTTGTTGGGGATATTTTCTTTGGGCCCATTAGTACCAATCGAGCATAGTGTCAACGTATTGTTATTGACCATGTCCATCCCTTTATAACCACAGTGTACCTATCTTCCCATGGCTACTTCCAGCAGGATAACGCACCATGTCATAAAGCACAAAGCATCTCAGAATGGATTCTTGAGCATGACAATGAGTTCACTGTACTCAAATGGTTTCCACAGTCACCAGATCTTAATCCAATAGAGCATCTTTGGGATGTGGTGGAATGAGAGATTCACATCATGGATGTGCAGCCGACAAATCTGCAGCAACTGCATGATGCTATCATGTCAATATGGAATAAATCTCTAAGTAAAATTTCCATTACCTTGTTGAAGATATGCCATGAAGGATTAAGGCAGGTCTGAAGGCAAAAAGGGGTTCATCCCAGTACTAGTAAAGCGTACCTAATAAAGTGGCCGATGAGGGTATATATATTACATTTTTTGCTACAATGAACACAAGGTCTCAACAAAAAAAAAATCACAAGGTCCCATATTTTATAAAATACGCTGGCAGAGAGTCCCTGATGGACTGTTTAATTTTTTTTGCAATGTAAAAAAGACCAAAGACCAACCATGACAGATTTGCAGGGGCAAACGAAGATATTAAATTTTTACATAATTTCAATATTTGCCTTCTGCCTAACAAAGAGGTGAAAGAGAAAATGGTAAAATCGGTATCGCGCTTAATCGAAAAATTACAATTATTGTGCCCTGTGTACATTTTTGTTATATTTTGCACAAGTTTAATAAATACATTTTTTTTATTGTAATCGCTATTTTATGTGTATTCCAAGGACACTTTCTTGATGAATCCTTGAACTGTATTTTAACTGTAAACCAAAAAGGAAATGTAACAAATGAAGTCTATGTTCCAGAATAAAGTAAACAACTTACATATCTTCAGTTTTCTAAGTTTACATTTCATTTACTGAAGGGAAGATTACGTTTGTGATTCTATATGAATTTGATCAATAGTTCTTTCAGCTCACTTTCAGATTTGAGAGAGAACTCTTGCAAAACAAACTCAAGCATTTTCAAACAAACCAGCATTGACAGGAAATTAAATAGCAACACATAAAAATAAAATAAAATAAATAAATCAGGCATTTTTATTCAGAAAAAGACATCTCAAGGACTTAATTTCATCTTATATTGTAAAGTTTAAGACTTTTGTTGCAACCCAGGCTCTTGCTCTCTCTCTTCCCCACTTTTGTAATGAAGGAGCGACTAGCTAAAATGTTTCTTTAGTTAAGGCTAGATTATCAGCCTCCCACTGAAATAATTGATTACAGGTAAGGCAGTAAGGCAAGGCCACGCAGTTAAAGCTCAGCGGAGATCACTTACAGCCTTAGCCAAATAGATAACCCTGCTCAAGCAGACCCGGGCCGAGCGCAGACGGAAAGATGAGCAGACACAGCTGAAGAAACGAGAGGAGAGGAGGACAGATAGAAGATAAGACAGAATAGAAGAGGATAAGAGTCAACTAAACAGATGTAAATGAGGACGGTGAGAGAGGGGCAGGGAGAGGAATCAAATCTGTGAAAAGAACGGAAGAAATGACACAGAACAGCCGAGATGGAAAAAGAAAGAGCTGCTCGGGTGCTTGAGGGCCACAGGGTCTCAGAGATGTTTAACAGTGGCAGAAGATGCAGGGTTTCTGCTTTTGTGTGTTTCAATTAGCAGAGCACTATTACCATCTCCAGCAGTTATTCATTGCAGTAAGGTCCACCTGTAACAGAGCTCCCAGAGTTCACCTCTTCTGCTCACCAGGTTTTTTTTATCTATTTAAGGAGCAAACAAGCTCTATGATTTTCGAACCCATTAGCTGAATGCGAGTTGTAACATCAGATGCTGGGTCTTTGACATGTTTTCATGTCTTCAAATGTAAGCCAAGTGATTATTTTATTATTATTCCAGCTACTTGAGAGCATCAGTGAATTTCTTGCATCTGATGTAGTGTTTGAGTGGGCCACTTACAGCTCCAGAGACTGAGGTTCTACAACATACAGACATACTGTATGCATTGTGTTGTTCTCACCTTTACTGCCACTATTCTTTTCCCAAGTAGGTGATAGGCTCTGTTAAGAGGAAAAGAGTGACAATTACAATTCAAATTTTGTTAGCAATATATTACCTTTGCATAGATAGGTACACAAACTAAATGAATGAATGAATGAATGAATGAATGAATAAATGAATAAATAAATAAATAAATAAATAAACGAACAATCAATGAAATACTAATAAATATGTGGTATAGGTGAAGAAAGAAGACTACATGAGTGATTCTGGAATTGTGAGTACATTTTGCATCTCCAAGATAAACCTTCTGTTGTTTTTCAAAACAATAGTAATAACAAAAAGGGACAGTTGTGAAAAATAACAAACACAAACTATATCTATAAAAATTCAAATGTGTTTATTTAGCGACATTTTAAATTGAAAATATTAACATGAACACTCCCACTATACCCCGCTTTGACTGACTCTACCTCCTGAAATAACATTTTGTATGTTTTCTTTAAAGGTTAAATACACATTTGTACAAAACATTTATTTTCTGTATTGTTTATAGTTAGTTATGCTTTAGTTGAAATTCTGTATTTAAAAAGACACTTTGTTTCTGTCGCTATATTCTGGTCAACTCTGTTACATCAGTTATAAAAAGACAAAGAATGTGACTTGCTCCAAGTGATTTCACATTTTTGGGCAAGAAACTCTGAAAGCCACTGAAATGTGTCGTTATTCTTTCATCAATATTTCTATAGAATGTTTAGAATAGACCAATAGTAGATGTCATATTTGACAACTACATTATTGTGATATTTCAGTGAAAAAAGTAACAATAAAAATACATTAAATTCTGTTTTAAAAATACCATGTGGTATTGACAGAGGTAAGCATCCTGAGCCAAAGCAAAAAATGGTGGAAAATGTTAACTCTGTTATTGTGAACTCTCTTTTTTGTTGAAAATTTGAACAATAAGTTAAATAACCATTAGCAATAGAATCTAACTTTGCCTAATTTTATGTTAATAACAGACAGTTTACTATAAATTTATAATAGCCAATCCTAATACACCATTGTAACACAGAAAAAAATTGAAGGACTGACATCCAATAACTGTCATTCAAGGAAGGAAACTTTGCTCGAAGTTTTAAGCCAGAGAAACCCAAGTTGTACATCCATATGATCGAGGATGACACTCTGGTGCTTTTAAACATTTGTATTTATTTACAGATTATCATCGCCACGAAAAAAAGATCCTAGAGGAGGGGTGTCCTCATCCTAAGTGTCAAATGCAGGTGAGGTCAACCCTGAGTCAGTCACCTGCGAAACCTCAGTCATTCTGAGCTGTGCAGCGCTATCAGCCCCGTTCCCGTTTCAGCATGAGCTCTCCCAGACAGGCCTCCTGTTACAGGTCGAATTAACGGCAAAGCCGCAATTATTTAATTATGATCCTTGCTCATTCCGAACAGTGGATCTGGTTACTGCAGTAGGTGCTGAAGAGGGCTTGGGTTACAATAACCCACGACACGGTCCATTCCACCAGATAATATACTATAACAACAGACAGCTGCAAAACGAGGGCGGAATCGAAAACACAGTGTGTGAATGAGAAACGGAGAAAACAAAGAAAGATCGAGAAACAGACTGATTTGATTAAGACGTCCGTAAGTGAGTGTACACCTGCAGTAAACAAAGTCGTAATGCTTTGCGTTCGCGGAGTACATGTGATTTATGGGAAATAGATGGCTGATCTGGTTACAGCTCCAGACACCTCGTATCTCCGGCAAGGCTTTAATTAATGTCGCACTAAGTGACGCGACGGCTAACTTCCCTCATTTAGGACGTTGACACTCGATCGCATCTCACCTCAGTGTCCTTTGCAGGTACACTGTGTACTTCTGGGCCATACAAGATACAGAGATGCTCAATGATATGGCCAATATGTGCCAATATCATCTGACATTGAACTAATATGACAGATATCAAAGTAATGTTTGGTGTCAAAACAGGACCTGCAAAGAACATCTTGTATTCTTTGAAGAATCAGCTCATATTGGCAAAGTCGGTGATGCTTATGGTGCACAGACCTACCAGCCAGACAATCACCCTAAGAGTACATTCATAATCTACCAAACCCTGGTCCAGGGATCATTAAAATGTTTTTGAGCTTTTAGGGGTTGAATATATTTGCACTTGAACTTTAGAAACAATCTGATGCCTTCTTTTTATTCTCTATCAACTTAGTATATTTAAATTTACATTTATAAATTTTTTTTTAAAAAGTTCACTGATGCTTCAGCCGAATTGTTTTTATAAAATGCTGTTCAAGGCAACAAAGAACATCTAAACAGTTGAAATGAACTACCATCAACACCTTTAGTTGCCAGAAATGTTGCGCCATACTGTGTAGTGATGGGCACATCTCAAAACTAACTGTCAGGAGGTTGCTAGTTTACCTTAGGCATGTAGCGAGTCATAAGCCACCACCGTCGCACCCTTGAGCAAGACACTTAACCTTATTTCTTTGCACAGGGATTGCCCGTGTAATATGCGCGCTATAATTTGCTTTGGATAAAAGCATCTGCTAAATGGCTGCTTACTGCTTAGTAATGCGAACTCAACCAATGATGTCGCCTAAATGGTTCCTTCAGAACATCCTGAACATTAATGGATCTTACTAAGCCCATTTGGAAAGTTCAGCTAAAGTCCTTGACCTCTGACCCTGCTGAGTAGTCATGCAGGGATGACTTAAGATTGACAGATGCATGACCAGAGCGAGGTGACGTGGTGACGTGTGGTCCTGACCCCCGTAAATGTGTCCCTATTCTCTGTTTGTTATTTACACTCCAGAGCCCGAGGTAATGAAAGCTCTGTCATGCAGTATTCATAGAGCTCTCGAAGACAGCCATCCCATGAATGTGCGTTTGCAGACGAACACACGCGGCATGCAACCACACAAACAGGTTTCGATTACAGTGGCCAATGTGGACCAGACAGTTCTCCCCGTCTCTTTCTCTACACCATCTAACCTGAGATGACCAGATGATCACCTCACCTGAAAGAAAGCCACAAAGAGAGGTGCGCGAGAAGAGACAAAGCCTTACACCTGTGGCTCTCAACTGGTGGGTCATGACCCAAAAATTGCTCTCACAAAATTCAGAAGAAAAAAAGTAACACAAATAATAATTATTGAAAATAAAAATATAAAAGATTACAGATTAAATGAGACTAAAATATTAAAGGGAGATTAAAGCAACAAAACAATGAAAGTACAATACAGATTTTACAAATTGATTTCAATTAAACCTGATAAGCTTATTTTTGTTACGGCTATTACACTTCTTTTTTTACCACGATTTACAGAATAGACAAACTAAAATATTATTCAGGGTAACAGAAATCAGGATACGCATTAGGAAAAGTAATTAATTGTGGACATATTAAAAGACTCTTCAAGGATGACAGAACAGTGATAAAATACTAATTATTTGTACATTTTTATTTTTATACATCAATAATTTGGTAAGGAAAAAACTATTAATAATTTAAAATATGTTTCTTTTACAAATTGTAACAAGTACCAATCAGAATAAGCATGTTTTTCATTGTCTTACAAATATAATAATTTAACACATAAAATCATTTATTTCTGTTATGAACATACACATATATAGTTGAAGTCAGAATTATTAGCACCCCTGTTTATTTTTTTCCCAATTTCTGTTTAACAGAGAGATTTTTTTCAAATTTTTTCTAAACATAATGGTTTTAATAACTCATTTCTAATAACTGACTTATTTTATTTTTGCCATGATGACAGTAAATAATATTTTACTAGATATTTTTCAAGACACTTCTATGCAGCTTAAAGTGACATTTAAACACTAGGTTAACTAGGCAGGTTAGGGTAATTAGGCAAGCTATTGTATAATGATGGTTTGTTCTGTAGAATATCGAAAAATCATTTAGCATGAAGTGGCTAATAATTTTGACCTTAAAATGTTTTTTTTTTCATTTTTAAAAACAGTTTTTATTCTAGCCGAAATGAAACAAACAAGACTTTCTTCAGAATAAAAAAATATTATCAGACATACTGTGAAAATTTCCTTGCTCTGTTAAACATCATTTGAGAAATATTTCAAAAAGAAAAAAAAAATCAAAGGGGGGCTAATAATTCTTACTCTGAACTGTACATGTTCTGAAATATATATTTATATAGGGTTGTTTAAAAAAAAAGACAACCCCATTTTGATGTCTACGCAAAACTTAAATAAAAACGGTACTTTATTTTTAATTCAAAGGTAAATATATATAGACTTTTTTAAAGAAAAAATGTTATATTCTTTGATCTATGCTTTTTTAAATATGAATTTCAGCTTCTGACTTGAAAAAATGTTTTTTGTTTACTTTATTTTTTCTTGGACATGTAAGTGAGAAACAGGGTTATAAACACAGCAACACAACATCAAGGGGTGCAGGTTAGGTGAAAGCATTAGAGAAGAAAATATTTATTTATTCTCAAGAAAAGCAATTTAAGTGAATACCCTTGGCACCACCCTGCATGCAGTCTGACGGTCACAAAGGTGTGTGTTTTGCATAAAGGAGAGTGTGTGTGTGTGTGTGTGTGTGTGTGTGTGTGTGTGTGTGTGTGTGTGTGTGTGTGTGTGTGTGTGTGCGTGAGCAAGCATGGTAGAGGTGATTGAGGACAGTTGTGGAGATGGATGGGAGACTGGCCTAAATTTTCCTACGAGCCACATCACAGATTATATTACATTACATTTCACCTGCCACTACCTGTGCTGCACTGCAGCTGTCAGTCTGAACATAAAACACAATAACACAATGTTACCCTTCTTTAAAGATCATAAATATGCAGTGAACAGAAAACTAAAGTAAAAACAAACATTGCGGGTTTTGTGAAATAAATTATACCATCGCATTTATGTTTAAAAAGACTTTTAATGCATCTTTTACACACACTGACTGCATTCAGAACTTAATATTTTCAAAGAGCAAAAAAAATGGTTGGAAATAGGAGATGAATGCAAAATTCAGCAGTTTCTTTTGTTTGAGGGAGGAAAAATATTTCTAGGCAAACACATTTAGTGCTGAGCTCGTCAGACTGTGTTCTTGTTTGGGTTGCAGTATTGGCTTTTTTTTTTAAATGGCTGAACAATTTCCAGCAACCCAGAGGTGATCCTCCAGTAAAAGAAGCATATGATGAGCATCCGTGTTACTCTAAAAAGCACAGAGCTTTATCAACAGTTACTGGCATCCAAATTAATGAAGTGATTTGTATTTGCAAGGCGATGATGACCTTGTGTCTTGTCCTACAAACTGCATCTTTTAGGCCGAGGTTTATAATGTGGACATAGAACGGAGCTTTAGGAGGGTCACAAAGAGTCACTTAAGCTTCACAAGCTCCAACTAAATGTAGTCTTTTACGCCGATATATCAAGACATTTAATGAATGATAATGTTGAGAGGGTGTTGAAGGATGTCTGAAAACATGAGCACATGTGAGACCAATGTAAAATTAATTAGAACGTGAGTGCGGACGACAAAACGGTTTGCTTTTCAGTTACATGTCCATCTTTTTTTTTTCTCCTCCTCTGGTTAAAACCTATAGACTGTACTAAAAGGTAAAGAAGGCCTTTGAAGAGGCTGACCACAATTGGTCTAATTAAATCTCAAGGTAAGAAAAACATGAGCACTCACTTGTAAACTGTTCCACCATTTCCATGGCCAAGCTGTTCCTGGTACTGGAGGTCATGTTCATTTATCTAAACAGAGGGGGGGAGAAAGTCTGAGATATTTTTTCCTCTACATATCTATGGAAAGTAAGACTCTTAGTTCTTACTTGATCTAAATAACATAAAGGATCTTTAAAACTGTGTGAATCCCTGTGTTGCACTCCCCTTTGTGCAGTAATGCGTATGCATCCATTATATAGACATGTCTTCATGAGATTGGCTGTATAGATGTTTTATTTCTTTAGCTCCAAAAATGTGTAAAAAAAAAACGATAAAATACGCCGAACTGAGATGATGAATTAACTGAATGAAAGAAAAAGATGATGACAGAAAATAAGCTAAATACATAAATTATCATTTTTTTTTTATATAATTATTTTTTCGGGGTTTTCACCTTTATTTTTGATAGGACAGTAGAGAGTATTGACAGGAAAGCATGGGGAGCAGAGAGAGGGGAAGGATCGGCATAGGACCGCGAGGCGGAATCGAACCTGGGTCGCCGCGAGCACCGGAGTGCATGTGTCGACGCACTAACCACTACACCACTGGCGCCGACATAAATTATCATTTTTAAAAGGGATTAGTGTGACTGTAACAGTTAAACCACTTAATAAAAATAAATGACATCCTAAAAAAATTAAATATCCCTCTGTAAGTTTATCTGAAAATCTGACGCAGAAAAATAAAATCAATATAATGTTAGCCGTCGCATTGATAAAAGGACAAATAATTGGAAGGTTAATAATAATTTGGATGAGCTTACAGAATGAGTTGACAGAATTTTTATTTTTGGGAAAACTATCACACCATTGTGTTTAAAACTTGTGATTAAGACTAAATGTCAGTGACAGGTTGCAACAAATCCTTTAAATTCAGAAAACCTTAAAACGTTGTACATGGCCCGAGTCTCCCTGAGGATGACAAAGCAGAAAACGCTGCAGAAGAGCATTCTGGTAATCTTCTGACCTGAGCTGGAAAAGCAGTTGCTAATTCCAGCCAGTGAGGACTATTTTCAGAATCAGCTTTATACAGACACATCAAGCCAACAAATTAACTCGATCACTGCCATGGCTCGGAACAATTCAGCACACCTCTGAATCAGAGCCATGTGTATATAAAAGCCAAAAGTTAATATTGAATCAGAGCCATATATAAGCCACAAAATCACGCTGATATATAAAAAGACATTATATAATTTCTGATGTGGAGAATTCTGGCTGTTTAAAAAAAAAAAAAAAAAAAAAAAGAAGTGTTGTTATTACTGATGGTTGATTAGTATCATTGTTTTTTTTTTTAATTAATGAAGCTGTTATTGCTAATAATAATAGATGCAAAACACAAAAATGTTGTTTTAGTTGTGGCTACTGTTTTTATAATTACTAAGAGCAGAGATTTTTAGTCATGATTATTACAATAAATAATAATATTAACAATAATTAATTTATTTATTTATTAATAATATTATTACAAATAGGCAAGGCAAATTTTATTTATAGAGCTCAATTTTACACAACCATTGCTGATCCAACGTGCTTTAGAATAATAAAATAAATATAAATTAGTATTACAGATACTTATTGTAATAATACATAGTAATGTTATAATATTATTAACAACAACAACAACCCCACTGTTATTGCCATAATTAGTCATCAACAATAATGATTAAAAAGCTGGTATTATTATTACTATTTATTATTGTAACACTTTACAATAAAGGATCCATTATTTGTTATACCAACAATAGCAAACATCGAACACTACATTACAATATTTATTTATCATAGTAAACATTAGATAATGAAAATATAATTGTTCACTGTTAGTTCATGCTAACTCAGTGCATTAACTAATGTCATCCAGTTAAACTTTGGATGTTAATAAAAAGTTAGTAAATGTATTTTTTTTTAATGCAGAACAAGATTTGCCATAAACTAACATTAACTAATGGGATCTTATTGTAAAGTGTGACCATTATAAATAAAAATCATGGTAAAATAATAATTAAGCTACTGTAAACAATAATCATAGTATTTATTTTACAGTAATTTATTATTAGCAGCAGTTGTTAATAATGTAATTAATAATGTTATAATCAATAAGATATTACTGCAATCATTTATTTTTTTTTTTCTGTGAATCTGATTAATTTTTATTTACAAACTTCTGTTCACATCTGTAATTTGCTATTATCGAAGCTATTGTTATTGAATAGCTATTGCCATTATTACATATTATATACAGTTGAATGATTACCCCGCCTGAATTATAAGCCCCCTGTTTATTTTTTTTAACAATTTCTGTTTAACAGAGAGAAGAATTTTTTAACACATTTCTAATCATAATAGTTCTAATAACTGATTTATTTTATTTTATCTTTGCCATGATGATAGCACATAATAATTTACTACACATTTTTCAATACACTAGTGTTCAGCTTAAAGGAACATTTAAAGGATTGACTGGGCTAAAATTTTTGACCTTAAAATGGTGTTAAAAAAAATGTAAAACTGCTTTTATTCTAGTCAAAATAAAACAAACAAGACTTTCTTCAGAAGAAAAAAATATTATCAGACACTTATCAGACATAATTATCAGACACTCTGTGCATGCTAGCGCTCCATTAACTGTGCATGTTACAGGTGTCACAGAGGATGCGCCTGTCCTAATTGTCTATCTGACACACTTTAGTTGACAGACCTGCCTGCTGTGGGCTTGTAGCAGGGGGGAGGAAAGGTGACAGCCAAAGGACACACAGACACAGCTCTGATCACTCAAGATAGAGACCTCAACCATGCCATACCGAAAGGGTCAGTGAGCAGCCCGTTTAGGAGCAATCAATAGATGCTTTCGCACATTCACAACAGACTTTACATTGACAAATTAAATGGGATGAGTGCTATTGAGCATCACCGGTTGAGAGGTAACACCATCACTAACAAGATAATCAGATTCGATTGAACTAGGAATTCTGTGCATTATACTATATGTGTGTACGTGTGTGTGTGTGTGTGTGTGTGTGTGTGTGTGTGTGTGTGTGTGTGTGTGTGTGTGTGTGTGTGTGTGTGTTTGTGTGTTTGTGTGTTTGTGTGTGTGTGTGTGTGTGTGTGTACAGGGTCCCTGCATGTATCAGTTTCAAGTCAAACGTAAGACTTTTTAAGACCTGAAGAAATAAATAAATACTCTACATATAGGGATGTGCAACATTGACAGAAAATTGCATATTAATAATCTGTTGATGACAATAATAATAATAATAATAATAATAATAATAATAATATGGCATTATGCTGAATCTGTTTTTGTGCTGTGTTGTTTTGGCCTGATTAACTCTCAAACATACTCACATTATTCATATTCAACGCACAGTTCAAGACATAACTTTTTTTAATTAAAAGCCAATATGTGCCACATTAAATTGATTTGATTTGGGCATATTTAAATGTGTATCTTTATATACTTATTAGACATCTGCATAACCTTTTACATCCAAATCTAACATTAAAATTAGTAATTTAAATAACAATACCTCATCAAATAAAATTACTATTAGCAAAAATTAATCTTTGAGGTGATCCAGAAGTGCCATGCAAAGTGGCATTAATATATTTGCACTGCATTTGCACAAATAATACTAGGTGAGTGTTTTTTTTAATGTAATAGTTACATTTGAGGTGATTTAGTTTTCACTTTAATTATTAAAAGGCACTTCAAATATCAAACTACAACCAACCCTGTCTTAATACGTAAGTGGGTTGAATGCATCATTTGTTTAACTGATTTGATCAAATGGAAAAAGGAATGAAACAAGTGGCTCCCTTTATGAATAGATGACTGAATAATTAATGAAACCGATTCATTCAAAATGAATCACCACTATGTGTTTCTTGAAAGTTTCCTTGTACTGTGGTTGTTTTATTTTTTCTTTTATTATGCTTGGAAAAAAAATTCTGTATCTCCAGGACTTTGCAAGTCTAATGGCTCTTGAGATCAAAAAAATAAACATAAACAAGAAAAAAATAAACATTTTTCAAGATTATTTTGTATTTACAAAGAAAAACACAATACTTCATGTAAATAATATCATATGTTTTAGGAAAAGCAGCCACAAAATAAGTCATTTTAGGTTTTGTTTCTTTTATTTTTATTCATTTTATTTTTTAGTTTCTAAGAATCCAAAAAGGTCCAGATATTGATAAATATTGTTATGATAGCTAATTTAACGTGTAAATAGGATTGAATTGACTTTTGTTACAGTTCTGAAATAGTATGATAACAAGCAGGAAATGTTTATAGGCCAATGACATTACCACATTGAAATGGTCTATAGAATACAAAAATAAGGAGAAAAAAAACATATGGCAAACATATGGGGTCACATACAGTAATTGCAAACAACATGCAATAAAAGTATAAGTGCAAATTCAATGTCGCATTTTGCTCAAACAATACTTATACACAACAATGATATCATTACATAAGATACACTTACAAGACTGCACAATCCACAAGAAAGAATAATAAAGATAATACATTGCTAATTCGATAAATAGATTTTAATTTGCTCAGATTTTTACACATATCTATATTTAAAGTAAAATTTATGACCTTTCAGGTGTAACAATTATTTGTTACACCTGGCTTATTTGGCTTTAAATAGTATGACAAATGTAACAATATGTATCAAAATGCATTCAGAAGTGAAAGTGTGTGTGTGTGTGTGTGTTTTTGAGGCTACTATACCTGCCCATTTGTCAAGATCTTCTTAAGCTCAGCTGAAGACTTCTTCAAACTGCTAAAATATAAAAACAAAAACAAACAAAAAAAACATTTTAAGACACCTTAGTAATGCTCTGCCAAAATCTGACATGAGTAAACAGTTTAGACAGAGCAGTTATTTCACATCAGAGATGTAAGATCAGAGTAATTTATTTGGTATGATCTGTTCTACTGCTGCACACACAGAAACACAAACACACACACAGGCTGGCCTTCAAACTGCAGGTCTTTGTCCTGTGCTGGGGGGGGGTTCATTTTCTCAGACCAAATCTAATTAAAAGCTTTAATCTCATGCTCAATTTCTCTCATTAATAAAATGTACATTATTGAGACCCTTATAATGAAATGAATCAACATAGCTTTTGTTTAGCTTCAACAGTCTTTTCATGCCATGTCAAATGTAACTGTTCAAAACAAGAGTATGTTGATGTATCATTTGTTCTACTAAAAATATAAATTACTCCTTTAATGTATTTTTAATTAAATAGAGAGTATAGGTCAAATTATACACAAGCAAACAGAAATAACAGTTTAAATATCCACTAATGTTTTAAAGTTTACAGCCAGTAAGATGTTTTTAATACATTAATGCTTCCTAAATAGGCTCTCCAAGGCTATTTAGTTGATCAAACAGCAATAGGTGAATTATTATTACAATTGAAAAGTTTTAAATGTAATACATTTCAAAATGTAATTTAATCTTGTGGTTTATTCCTCTTTAGTGTCAAATGATCTTTCTGAAATTATGCTTTTTTATGCTAAATTGGTGATCAAGAAATAAATACGTAATTTGAATCAAAGTAAAATATAAAACTTATTATTGCTAAAAATATAAATTTTTAAGCAATATATATATATATATATATATATATATATACATATATACATATATATACATATATACACATATATACATATACATATATACATATACATATATACATATATATATATATATATATATATATATATATATATATATATATATATATATATATATATAAACATTTTCTCCAAATTCCATTTCATTTATCTTGATTTTTTTTTTTTTTTTTTTTTTTTAGATATTTATTTTCTTGGGCTCCATTTCTATGATTAAAATACATTTTATAAATCAAAAAGCATGATCAAAGTTTAAAAAACAAAGTAAAAAAAAGTCATTCCTATCTCTTTTGTTCAATTTTGAAGCATCGATAAAAAAGTTTATTAATTAAAAAAACTCATGAGAAAATTAGTAAACCCAATACACCTACACTACCAGTTAAAAAGTTTGGGGTCAGTAGGATTTTTAAATGTTTTAAAATAAGCTTCTCCTGCCCACCAAGGCAGCAATAATTTCATCAAAAATACATAACAAAGAGTAAAGTTGTGAAATGTTATTGCTCTATAAAATAACAGTTCAAAAGTAGTTTATAATTGAATTTAATCATTTATTCCAGTAATTTTATAGAATAATATTTAGCTTCATTACTCCAATCTTCAAAGTCACATGATCCTTCAGAAATCACTCTAATAATAATAATAATAATAATAATAATAATAAATTATTATTATTACTATTATTATTATTATTATTATTATTAATGATAATAGTAATAAAAGCAATAATGACAAGAGTAATAATTTTATTTTAAACCACATACAATAAGCAGTTATTTAAAATATTAATAAATATTTAACAATTTAACATTTTACATTTAATAAATGTCACCTTGATGAACAGAATAATTTTCTAAAAATTAAAAAAAAAAAAATAAATAAAATAATCAAACATTTGACCAGTAGTGTATGTTGGTTTATCCACTCCGTATCCTGTTAATTTCTATCATTAACTACATTTCAAAACACTCATTCCAGCAAAGTCATCAATGTATGCACTTGAAATGCAAGCTTCACCTTTCAGTATTAATAAACAAAACAAACACTGGTATGAAGCCTTTTCCCTGTGTTTCCTCCACTTAATGAGTGCAGATGTGATGTGGGATCACTCACCTATCGCTGGAGCGGGAATCAGCTGCAGAGGAGCTCCTGCCACTCGAGGATTCGGGCCGCGTGTTCACCTGCGGGCAAACAAAGACAATCACAACCTGTGCTAATTAACCTGTGATTCAACAGCAAACTGCCTGGTTTGGCCGCAAGGTTAATTGGCTTTTGTGGGGGAGACAGTGAGATCTAGAGATAGAGGCTTGAGGAAAGGGGTCACTTCATCTATCAGGCAAAATTAAATATAACTCTGGGAACATCCTTGGGTGAAGAAAAAAAAATGGATGAATCAACATCACGTCCTTTATTTGTCATTAAAGAGGATTCATGAAGCTGCTTATTGTCAGAGCCGCACTAATGGATCGCTGTGGGAGAATGAAGGAAATGGGCTCAAAGAGAGTCCCTGTATAAATAAGCAGATTAATTGAGGTCTGAAGGTCAAATAGTGTGAAGCAGTAAAGCAGTGATTCTCTTCTTAATTAGTGTCTATGAAGACCTCATTTAAGTCAGTTTATCTGGGTTTTTTATACCCTTTTCAAGCCAATAGAGCTGAAAATCAAACTACACAATTCAAAAGTTTGGATTTAGTAGATGCTGTTTTGTTATGGGAAATGTATAATTTTTGTTCTCACAAGGATACGTTTAAAGCATCAAAAGTGATAAAAAAAAACATGGAAAACGTTCTCCATTATAAAAAATAATTACACAAGTAAAATACAGCTAATTTAAAAGACACTTCAGTATTAGCAAGCACAAGATATTTTTCCAAAATCAAAACCTAAAATCTTCCAAACCCCAAAATTCTCAAAATGTGATGTAAATTTATCAATTTCAAATGTGCCTTACAAAGATACATAACAACTATAAACTAAACTGATAAAGCTACTGATAAATTTGCAAAACATAATAAGAATCAATAGCCAATACACATAAATTAATGTATCTGTCAAAACCAAACATTTTTTTTGCCAAATTCTCATTAGTCATTCTTTTATTAGTCTCGCGTATCCAGACTTCAGACTGACTGTGAAGGTCTGGTTGCTTTTAATGGTGAAGGACCGCCCACTATATTATATGATTCACAGGTAATACAACCAAATCATATTTGGTTTTGTATTGCATCATGTTTTCGGGCTTGGAATTATCCTTTACATAATAGCCCGCATGCAAACGTACCCTATTCACTCAAAAAAATATTTAAAAGTTTACCATAATGACGCATCAATATTTTTAATATCTATTCATACATTATTTGAGAGATGCATTTCTACATATTGAGATGAAATATGACTGAAAGGTGAAAGGTTTTTTGGTTCTATAAAAGCAAGATTTTGTTGCATTTGGAAGAATCCACAAATCAAGTAACCTCTGTTCTGAACAAAGTCTTTCTCTTATCTTTATGACCAAAATGACAGAATATTTTAAGGTTTTCATTGCCATTGGAAAAAAAAAAAAAGTCAGTCACACTTTATTTTGATGGTCTGTTTGTTAAATTTAAGTTACACTGCATCTACATGCCAACTAATTCTCACTAGATTATAAGCAGACTGTTAGGTTGGGGTTAGGGTTAGTGTAAGTTGACAAGTACTTGCTAAGTTTCATATAGAAAGTTAAATGTCTGTTGAAGGAGCATTGTCAATAGATATTTAGCAGACAGTCTACTAATACTCAAACGGACCACTAAAATAAAGTGTTACCAAAAAGTCAATTTAAGTCAAATTGAAAAAGGCTCATTGTCACAAATGTCTAAGAAAGTGATACATTTATTAATGAACACTGTCGTTAATAAAAATATCACAGCTTTTTATCTGCTCAGACTTGTTTCCTGGTGGGCTGATAAATATTGCTGCATACTCAACGCATGGAAATTTTGTATATTTAAACCAATCAGAGGACGACTGGTGAACTACAAAAGTGTTTCCAAAAACAAAAAAGTGTGCCATATGCATCAGATGTTTAGCCAAATTTCTATGGGGTGTGCTTGGCTAAACGTCTGAGGCTAAGACAATTCTTTAATGAGCTGGACATACAGTTTAACAGGTTATTTAACATATTAAGCTAACTATGCTAACTATGATTAGGCCTGTCACGATATCCTTTTTTTTTTTTTTGCGCTATAATGCTCTAAATCATATTGCGATAAACTATATTATTGTCATTTTTACACCATTTTTTGCCACTCTTTGTATAATGCTAGAATGACAATATATTAATCAACATAATGCAAGTACAGTACACTCTTCCAAATAACACATCATATTTATTGTTAAGGGTATTTTGTTTACTTATAGTCCATTTAACAATTTAATAATGAGGCATTGGAATCAGAATGTGAAAATCCATAAAACAGAAAACAAATAATTAATAATAAATGTTAACAAAAAAAGTGGAGGTAAAAAGTAACAGTATCTGCTACCAGATCTATTTCCAGTTGTCAGACACCCACATGAAAATAAACTATAGTAATTTAAGTAAATTTAATAGTAAGTTTAACCATACTGTAACAATGACACTTCCGTTGGACACAGAGAGGTTGCACAATCAGCTAAAATGTTGCTTAAATTGGTTTTAATGTATGGGCTATATATATACTGCGATAAGTCGATATATTGATTATTGTGACAGGCCTAACTATGGTTGGCCACAAAATGTAAAAAGAGGAACGCTTAACATTACAACAAATTTGGGGTATGGTAATTTACTGTTACAGTAAACTATATTGTCCTCTTTTGGGGCGATTTGTTCTGCAGCGAAATAGATTTACAACACATATATCACACCACACACTTAAGACAAACATTAAACAACATTAACAGAACTAAAAGACAGCAACTACCTCTTCCCATTAAAATTCAGCAAATCAAATCAATCGCACAAGGACCAAAATGCAAA